TGAACCATTGGAGTCATTCTGCCCCTAATGGGCTTATGAAAGAGCTAATAGAATTATGTCTTGCGGCTGCTAGGAATGTTATTGCATTTCACTGGAAATCTAAGAAGACTTTACAACTGAGTGATTGGTATCTGAAATTGTGGGACTTCTTTCTACAAGACAAAGTTCCCACTAGTATCCTTCGATCTGAAAATCAACCCGTTCCTGACAATCTCCAAGAAAAACGGATGCCCCTCTTAGAAGCGTCAGCAGCACATAAAATTGGCACCTCCCTGTTTGCTCTACATAAACATCAGGATCTACTTTCTTATTTTTAACTGTTTTTTTAAATTAAAAAAAATACTCTGAGTGACATAAAGCCCTTGTTTGACACATGAACAGACCCCTCTGGTTCCTAACACCCTTCCCCCCTCCAATCCTTAAATTCACAACAATGTGCAGGAGCCCCCATACAGCCAACACTTTGGGGTTCCATCTATTTCCACTGAAAGTGTTATGATTAAATCTCTCCATCTGAAATCAATGGAACTTAAAAGGCCATGATCCTGCTGTTAGCCGAATTGCTTTATTTACAGCAATTGGCAATTTAAATCTGGGTGCTTGCCAACTATATCAAGGTCCTGTTCCCACCAAGAGTTACCAGAGAAGGAGTGAAGGCTGGTGTTGTTAAAATAAATGTCTTTTACTTAAAGAATAAATCACATACAAACAATACTGAGGCGCTCACACATTCAATCAAGTTCCTTGGAAATACAGTATTAAAATAAGCACTTTTGCATTAACAGGTGTGGGTGATGATGGGTGATACTTATCTGTCTTCTCAGCTTGGTTGTTCCAATGAAGAATGGATGGGAAGAAATAGACGACTAGAACCAGCCAGCACTGTAGAGGCAAGGGTTTGGGGATAGCAAGCTGGACAAAAGGGGAGTATAAAGCAGACAGGGGTTGTTGCAGGGAATGCTAGCTAGGAAGGGCCAGGTGAATGGTCCTTACCTTTTATAGGTGGTCTTTTGGGTGGGTGGCAACTGTGCCAACCTCTGGACCCACCTACCTATTAGTCCGTCGCAAAACTAATCGTATTGGTTACCTATAGGAGTGGGATGTTACCTAGAGGGTTGGACAATATTGTAACCTAAGACCTAACTCAAAGGATGGCATCTGGGAAAGTGTGAAAACTTGGCGTCAGAGTGCTTCATTGAAGTGCAGATGAAGCCCGGCCATTCCTCTGGTCATCAAAGGTCCATCTGGCAGGAAATGCCAATGTAGAAACAAAGCAGAGATGTGGAGTGTGTGACCACAAACAATTCCGCAATGGGGGCTGCTTCTTCTCAAGTTGTTGTTTTGCTGACAATAATGGAGATGTGTGCTTCCTCACCAGGCTGGTAGCTGAAACCTCATTCACGCGTTAAGGCTTATGCAGGCACCTTGTATGTGTAATATCACAACAGGTGACTTGTACAGCTTTCTGAGCCTATGTGTATGTGTGCACAGTCCATAGTATAGCAATAAACATAGTCCATAACTCAAATATCAACCTCGTTCCTTAACACTGCTCAGCAATTGTAAGCCAGTCGTTGACCTCATCAAATGTTCTTTTAAGTGGCTTTTGGATCATGCGTTACCTGATAATTTCAAGTGTATTCTGTCATTAGGTATCATTTCACCAAGTGGATGGTGGCCAAATCAACCGTCTTCCTGGGAGATTAGTTTTGTATGAACCCAAAGCCTGCTGTAGTTGGGTGATAAGGTTCCCCCCTCCCTACAGGGCATGACAGGGGTGAATCAATGAGATAGAGAGCCAGTTTGGTGTAGTGGTTAAGTGTGCGGACTCTAATCTGGGAGAACCGGGTTTGATTCCCCACTCCTCTACTTGCACCTGCTGATGTGACCTTGGGTCAGTCACAGGCTCTGGCACAGCTGTCCTTGAAAAAGAGCAGTTTGTGTCAGAGCTCTCTCAGCCCCACCCACCTCACAGGGAGGGGAAGGGAAAGGAAAGGAGTTTGTAAGCCGCTCTGAGACTCCTTTGGGTAGTGAAGGGCGGGGTATAAATCCAATCTCTTCTTCTTCTTTTACCTCACAGGGTGTCTGTTGTGGGGAGGGGAAGGGAAAGGAGTTTGTAAGCCGCTCCGAGACTCCTTTGGGTAGTGAAGGGTGGCGTATAAATCCAA